GGGTGGTGTCATCTCCTTTGGATCTCACTGGACGGTGTAACCCATGCTTGATTTGGATGGATCTAAGGGTGTAAGCATTGACGGATATTTTTGATCTGAGGATTTAAGCTGTGATGGCTTTCTGTCAGATCTAAGGACTCTGATTCGAGTCTGTGGTGATGGTGGTCAGCAGCGACGGCTATTCCGTTGGCGGAGTATGCCCTGGAGTCGCGATTCATGGGGGCATGGCCGGATGGAACGAGCCGCAAGTTCTAGGAGATGGGCTGATGGCGTAGAGTAGTAGATAGAGAGTGTTGGGTCCAGGGTATTTTAGGAAAGCCAATGTCATCTCACAAAAACTTGTGAAGAAAAATAATGGACAGAGGGAGTATTAAGAATTTTATATTAAGAAATAAAAATTTTATAAATGCATTTAATTGGTAAATGTTTTGAAAATATATTACTACATACTTAGTAAATGTATTGGAAAAATTTGTGAACATATTAAAAATATAAAATGTTATTGAAAAATATTACTTAACAGTGATAATACTGATCTCTTCAAGATCTCATGTAAAGTATGAAAATTTAGTGAACCTTTTCATGTTTGTGACTTTCATGTTTCTTTTATGTGCTTATTGATGAGTTTGCTCTTCTGTCTTTTTCCTGAGACTATATTGTTTACAAAATCACATGCATTTCTCTTATTGGCTCCTTTTATTCTTTCACTACAGGCAATTGTTAGTTTTAAAACAATGCAATTTCAACTTTGTACCGTGTTTTTCACTTTCTCTTTGGGCACAAGAACACATTATTTTGGACGGACTATTCTTCATGGTGGAGCTAGGGTATGTTTGCTATTAAGCTCTATATGCACATGTTACTCTAACTAACATTAGCTTAGCAAATAACTTTTATTATTTTCAACAGTATCAAGCGACTGGTAGGGGCTATGTTGTTCGACACATTAAGTTTTCTGAGAACTATAGGCTCTATGCCCGCAGTCATTTTGCCAAGGGGTCTCTCTCTCTCTCTCGTATCCTATTCTTTTGTAATTATGTCCGTTTTGCATATGCATGCATTTTAATATATTATGCATATCCCTACTCGGGGAAAGCTCTAAATATTGTTATTTCACTTTTTCAGAATGGAGATTGTACTTTTGCTGGTTGTATATCTTGCGTATGGCTTTAGCACAGGTGCTTTATCGTACATTCTTCTCACGATTAGCAGCTGGTTCTTGGCTATTTCTTGGCTATTTGCACCATATTTGTTTAATCCATCTGGCTTTGAGTGGCAAAAGTAAGTTTACCTCACTATGCTTCAACACTGTACATAAGTTTTTGTGTTGTTCCATTTTAAAAGTTCATTGCAGGACGGTGGAGGACTTCAGAGATTGGACAAACTGGCTTCTGTATAGAGGTGGAATTGGAGTTAAAGGAGAAGAAAGTTGGGAGGCTTGGTGGGATGAGGAGCCAGTATAGTAATTTTTCTTCTAGCTTAATGCAATCTTGCCTATTTCAGTTATTTTTTCTTATCTTCTCTACTTTCTTAACAGGCTCATATTCGAACATTAGGGGGGAGGCTGATTGAGACCATTCTTAGTTTAAGGTTTTTTATATTTCAATATGGCATTGTATACAAGCTACATTTACAGGGAGATAATACATCTCTGACGGTAGATGATATATATCCAAGAGCATGCCCGAAGACTCTCCGTAGCCCGCCAAGGGAAAGACAGATCAGGCGAATAAAGCCCAAGTGTGGTGACATTAATTGGGTTGAAACTTCTCCATTTTCCTGTCTTAGAACCCAACCCAACACCATGGTTGTCCTACACCCACCCTAGGCTGAGCCCACACTCTCCATACCTTCCCTAAACATCCAAAATATTTCCTTTTCAAAATAAAGTTTTCCTACTCCTATTTTAGGCCCTGGCCGAAAATAAGAGTGTGTAAACCACAACCTTTGTTTGTTGTTATTTTCTTTCTTTTAAACCTTTTAATAAACAAATAAAACCTTCTCTCCTTTTCTATAAATCCCAGGCTAAATATCCCTCATTATCCCAACACAACATCAACCATGATATTCCCCATTCTTGTCCCCTTTATGTTCCCTACTAGGGCCGAATAAACAACCACAAAAAGCCAAGGGACATTTGAGTTGTTGTTGATACACCACCTACTAAATCAGTCACCTCATATGACCAAGAATATAAGGCCAATACACCATCCATCACCCATCTTTTTTTGTCCCCTCTTTTTAGCCAG